CGCTGAAACAATCATTCGTCATGAGCAAGAAGGTACAACTCAAACCCCTCGAACGAACAAACCTCGATGTGAACTTGATCGAGTTGCTCACAAGGTTCGTAATGATCTAGTCAATCATCATCAAACTTGCTCAACGTCTCCACAACAGCCATCAGAGCATTTGCATCACCTGGATAATCCTCCCAGAGTCTCCTTTGATGGCCGGCAGCTTCTGGTCGACCTGACAGTCACACAGTCAGCAGACAGCTCGTCGTCTGTCATGGAAGAGAACAAGAAGAGACTGACCATGTTCTTCAGCTCGACCCCTCCCTTCACTAGCGGATGAAGCATGTCGATCACCGTCTCTGCGACCTGTTGTGCCGTCATGAGGTCATAGGAAGAGCCAGCATCGCAATGAGAGCTCATGCCGGTCAGATGTCGAACAGTACAGGATACAGAACAAGGAGGGAAAGAGAAAAGAGAGGAAGGAGGGGAGAGAAGGAAAAATGCTTTCCTGGTAGATTGAGACCCATTCGGCCTTGATGACAAGTTTTTGCTGCTTCAGGGAGGCAGCATCGAGAATATCATTGACGAGCTGAAAGAAAACATCACGAATCAAGTACAGCAGAAGCCAGGGCGAGGCAGGACAAGAGAAGAGAAGAGAAGAGGATTATAGAGAACAGGTAGAAGGGAGGCAAAGAACGTGCATGCAAAGGAAAGAGAAGAAGGAATCTAGCAAGATTGAGAATGTTCTGACCTGTGAAAGTCGAACTCCACTTGACTTGATCACTTTGAGAGTTTTCAACTCCGACTGTCAACGTCTAAGGGCAGAGCAAAGGACAACAAGAGAAACATCGTCTACATCAGCAAGCACAACATATGACAATCGAAGGATCATACAGACATTTACAATCCTATTCAATTTCTACGTGTCCAAACTATAAACCACAGATTCATCTCAGTCAACATTCAATCCTTCTTACCGCACTCTTGTTTCCTAATTGAATGAGCGATTCGGTCAACCCGATGATTCCATTCAACGGCGTTCGCAACTCGTGCGAGATCGCAGCGAAGAAATCCTGTGACTTGTCACATCGCCAGCTATGATGTCTTCCTTCAACCTGTTGCGCGCTCTGTGCAGCAATGAGCTCGAACTCAGTCGTCTTCAAGCTTGTGATATCCTGTCACACGATGAGAAACCAGTGGTAGCCTCCATCCCAGGCTCGTCTCGTCCAAATGTACTCTTATCTCATCAGATTTTCATAATCTCAAAAATCAAAACTCACTTTTACATCAAACGATATTTCACTTCTTCCATATGCATTATCACCACCACCATCTCCATATTTCTAAACCCTAAACCCTAAATCCTCATCCTCTTCGTCTCACCTGTTCCATAACGAGGATGCTAAGAAATCCTTCCACCGGATCCAACAGCGGGATGAAACGGATCTTATGCCAGACTTCTTTGACATCTCGTTTCCGCAGCACTTTCCTGACCTCAACCTGCGATGAATGTACTCAAACACTCTCCTCTAAAACCTCTTACAACTTACCTCGATCGTTTCATCACCATTCTTCATGTTGTTCACCTGCAAAACAATTTTCAATTCCTTCACAGCCGACTCCACATCCCAAAGATTTCGAAACTTCTACTTTCAATCCATCGCATCATTTGCCCATGATTGCCATCTCCATCATCGTAACAACACCAACCCCAACTCCAACTCCAACGTCGTCATTATCATCAACAACTCCAACTCCAACAACTCCAACAACTCCAGCAACATGTTGACAACCTTCGTCTGCAGATCGTTCAGCTGTGCCTCACTATCCCAGATACACGTCCTCCATATCCTATCCATGCTCATTGAAAATTCTTCCGCGCTGGTTTCGGACGTGCTGTCCGAGCTGGGCCGATCGAAGTCTTTTCCTTGCTTCCAGTAGTATTTCTCACCACTGACGTTCATCGAGACGAAGGTTCCATCCATCTTGAACACTGAAGCGATGACGTCAATATGCCTCAGCAGCTCGTGGGACCTCCGCGATTGTGCTGATAGCTTTTTCTCCACCTCGTTCTGCTCCCCCTTGGTCGTACAGAAAATCAACACAAGAACCTTCGTCTCGCTCTTCCACTTGTACTGCTTGACTTTATCAGGTGGGAGAGTGATCTGAATCGGACGCATCTCCATCTTCAGCACAACGGGAGCTGGGCAGGTGGACGGGTGAACAGTCTTCAGCTCGTAGGCTGTTTCCCAGTTCAGCTGGATCTTATGGAACATGGAGTCCATCCACTTGCGAGCTGCTACGGAGGTACCAGTGTTGCAGTCGATCCCAAGGAACTCTTGGTACGTCTTGTTGTAGCAGCTGCAGATTGCTGAGTTGCCGTAGAGATGGAAGGAGAACTCCGGGTCGAAGTCCATGATAAAAATCGGCTCCTTCAGCTCCTCAAAGATCTTTAAGTCTTCTAGCGTGTAAGTTCTGGTACAGACAGGCAATCGAGCATCTGGAGCCGTCATGGCACCGTACGAAGAACTACAGCAAGGTGTTCTCTCTTCCAGTTCCCTCCTCGCGCCTCTGTCAACTGCGAGATGTCATGTCAGATACGTAGAGGACAGGAGAACGACACAAGTTATATCAACCACACTAAAGTGCACTAAGCAGCCTATCCTTGAAGTAGCATTGCTGTCTGCTGCTTTACACACGTCTCTTCTTGTGTCCAGATCTCTTCGAAATCTACATCATACTGAGCCCACACCTCATCTCCCACCCCGCCCCCTCCCCGCTCGTCTCGCTCTGTCTGTCTTGCTCGCTCTGTCTGTCTTGCTCGCTCTGTCTGTCTTGCTCGCTCTGTCTCTCGCTCTGTCTCTCGCTCTGTCTCTCTCAGTCTCCCTCCCTCCCTCCCTCCCTCCCTCCCTGTCACTGCCTCCCTCCCTCCCTCCCTCCCTGTCACTGCCTGCCTGCCTGCCTGCCTGCCTGCCTGCCTGCCTGCCTCTCCGTCTCTTCCTGCTCCTGCTCCTGCTCCTGATCCTCCTCCACATCATCATTTCCATCATCATCATCTCCATCATCATCATCATCATCATCTCCATCATCATCATCTCCATCATCATCATCATCATCATCATCATCATCATCATCATCATCATCATCATCATCATCGCATCATCATCATCATCATCATCATCATCTCCATCATCATCATCATCATCATCATCTCCATCATCATCATCATCATCATCATCATCTCCATCATCATCATCATCATCTCCTCCATCTCCTCCATCTCCTCCATCCCCCCCCATGCTCCCTGGTTCATGCCAATATCCATTCGACCGATCAAGGGTGGGGTCCTGAATACAACCCCTTCATTTGACCTATTTTTGTGGGGTAGTCACTAGTTTTGGGGAGGCACCGGGATTGGCCTGTCCAAGGGGTAGGGTGAGGAATCACAGAGTGGGTAGAGGAAACATGAAAATTGCGAAATAAGGGTAGGGTAGTATGAAATAAAGGGGTAGTAGGTATCAGGTTTGTTGAGAAAGAGTATAAGGTAGGATATCATGTGAAATATATTGGAAGAGATCATATAGAAATGAGATTGTGGGGTAGCCAGAATTCACATTGGATTGTAGTAAACATATACCATGGGTAGGGTATGACCCCAAGGTAGGTAGATGGGGTAGTGTGTAAAGTGAAAGTGCTTTTTGAAAAATTGATGTCAAAAATTGGATGTGGGTAGTGCACAGGGGGTGGTTAGGTTGAATTTGAACTATGAGGGGTAGTATATTTGAAGTAGAAATTACCTGGAAATCAATTCCAAAACGAGGGGTGGTATCATGTTGGGGTGGGGTTCCTGGAGGGAGGGGTGGGCGGGTGGTAAAATTCTGGAACGTACTGAAACCAGTGTGAGTAGTAGTAAAGAAGGCAGACAAACATCAAGCCCGCCTCAAGCACACTGTAAAAGTTGGAAAAAAAACCATGACCACTTAAAGAAAAACATTTGAATTTCTTTCCGGTAGTTTCAATAATTGGATGCAAAGTTTTGAACATTATTTTTGAAATTTATATTGGTGCGAATCTCAAGATTTTCATTACAGCAAACCATAGCGAGTTCTACAGAAATGTTTGAGGTAAATTTGAAATTTTGATATGAATATTCAATCAACTCGAAATATAACGGGAGACTGGTTACAGACTGGTACTACCCCACCGTTCCATACATCATATCCATTTGGTACCCAGCAAGTACCCCTAACATTTCCAGGAAAAGACCGAGTAATATCACGTGGGGTACCTACCCCTACCCCTCATCATTGGAATGCTGGTAAAGTTTATGTGTCAAACGCTGCGATCTCGAGGATCCGACTATTCCACACGCCCTCCCCCCCCCACTCGTCCAAACAGCACCCTCTCCCTCTCCCTCTCCCTCTACCTCTCCCTCTACCTCTTCCTCTTCCTCTCCCTCTTCCTCTCCCTCTTCCTCTCCCTCTCCCTCTCCCTCTCCCTCTCCCTCTCCCTCTCCCTCTCCCTCTCCCTCTCCCTCATCCTCTCCCCCCCCCTCTCCCTCTTCATCCTCCTCTCCCTCTTCATCCTCCTCTCCCTCTCCTTCCTCTTATTTCTCTTCCTCGTCCTCCTCCTCCTCCTCCTCCTCCTCCCCCTCCCCCTCCTGTTTCCCCCTTCTCTTGATCATCTTGCATGTCTTGCTCTCTTTCATCCTGCTTCTCCTGCTTCAACCTGCTCCTGCTCCTCTTTTCTTGTATTATGTTTACTGCGCGCGTTTTGATTGCTTTCCTTCCACCTGGCCTTTGACTGACTTGATGATGAAACAGATGAAGTTGCCTTGACTACATTGCAAGTAAGTGCCACCACAACTCTGTGCTCCCTCGTTTTCGATCTCTTACGAAGTGATCTTGAAGCTGGGAGGAGGAGGAGGAGGAGGGGGGGGGGAGATGGGGGGTGGAGCAAGAAGAGCGTCAGGAACGGGAGGAGGAGGAGGAGCGGGCGGAGCGGGAGGAGCGGGGATGTCGACGGGAAAGGGCAAGGGCGATTCGGCCCCCTGCAGCAGGCTGGGGGTTCTTCATGCCTACTGCAAGGATGGGCGCTGTGCAGCGATCCGCAGTCACCTGAGGTCCATGTGCGGGAGAGGGGAGAGCCTGGACGATCGGTTGCGGAGGTACGAGGAGCACATGCATAGGATGAGCGACTCGAGCGTATTCTTCTGCTCTCGTCCTGTGGAGGCGATCCTGAGCAAGAAGTCGTTCCTCATGGTCCTGCTCTTCCTCTCCCTGATGTTCTTCCTGCAAGTCGTGGGATGGACGGAAAGGCTGACGACGAGAGGGAGGAGAAGAGCGCAGTGCTTCCGATTCTCAGTCAGGAGGCTGAGAAACGGCCGGGAGTGTGAGGGCCCAGTGAATGTCAACGGGATTGGGATGCTGGAGGACGAGAGCGACGTCAGACACAGCCTATACAACCCTCTCCCCCTCTCCCCCCTCCTGGTGGACAGCGGAAACTGCACCCTACTCATCTCCTATCCTCGTCCAGTTGACATGAACGGTTTCTTCATCGTCACTGGGGAGGATCGGGAGGAGCTGGACCCCCTTCGCTTCCTCCTTGAAGGCTCCGCGTGCGACGGAGCATGGGAGACGGTCGGAGGCTCAGGCTGGAGGTTCGACTGGAGGAAGATGAACAACCATGATCGCAGCGTCTTCTCCTTTACTGATGAGCAGGACTACTCGCTCCCCCTCCTCCGAAATGCTACCTCCGTCCTCCTCTACCACGTCCCCGTCCTCCAGACCAGCCTGGTCATCCTCCTCAACCTGACGAGAGCGCTGGTGATGGGCGTGCCGGCGGTCCTGGGGCTGTGCAGTAGGGAGAAGCAGGGGAAGCAGGCGGTGCAGTGCGGGAGCATCGGGACTATAGTCTTCCTCTCCCTCCTCATCCTGGTAGACGGGAGCAACGCAACAAGCCTGATCGCCGACCTCCTCCTTGCCATCGGCTTTCTGCTCTGCCTCGTCTTCTTTGAGGACGAGACGCACTTTTGGGTCTCCTCCGTCCTGATCTTCTCCTCCTGGTGCGCGAGCGGTTTCTTCCTCTCCTACTCCCCGGCCTTCCATGCTGGCCTCCTGATCTCGCTCAGCAGCATCGCCATCCTCCTCTATCGCGACCATGTCATCTCCACTTCCTGCAACATCGTGGAGCATGACAGGAGCAGGTACGAGTCTGGTTGGCGGCTGTTCCTGCTGTACCTCGGGCAGCTGGAGCATGCGAAGAAGCTGTCCAAGTTCCTCCGATTCATCGTGGGGAGCGCGTCCATACAGAGGATGCAGGCAGACGAGCTGGTCCGGCAGGCCATGAGGAGGAGGACGTTGGGGTTCCGCCTGAAGCAGCTGCTGCTTCCTGCTGCTGTCGACGGTGTCATGCAAGTAGACGGGGAGGGCAACCCTGTCTGCTCCCTCCAGCGTCTGTACGCCCAGGCCGCGGTCTTGCGCGTCTTGCTGGCGAGGAAGGTGAGGAGGTGGGCGAGAGCGTCGGGGGGATACTTCGTGGTGAAAGACGAGGAGGGGAGGCTGGCGTTTGTGACGTGGGATGAGGCCTGCCAGCAGCAGAAGCTAAGAGAGGAGGGGAGATGGCTGACGGCGAGGGATGGGGAGGAGGCGGAGCAAGTGGATCGGCCGGGTCGGAGGAAGGGGACGCTTGCTGCGGGGAGGAGGACGAGGGGAGGACGAAGGGATCAGTGGGAGGAATGGGAGGAGGTCATGGCGGATGATGAGATGCCGGAGAACCGAGTACTTCAGGAGCAGCAGTATGGGAAGGGGATACTACAGCAGCAGCAGCTGGGAGCGGACGAGGAGGGGGAAGGAAACAAGCAGCAGCAGCTGCTGCTGCTGCTGGAAGAGGAGGAAGAGGAGGAGGAGGAGCATGGGGAGATCCCATCCTGCATTGTCTCGCTGAAGCCGAGAGGGAGGGCAGTAGAGAAGGTGATGAGATCGTATGGGGGGCAGGTGGGGAGGCTGCTGGACGTGTGCAGGACGAGGATCGTGTTCGACGACATAGGAGGGGTATCGATGTGCGTCGCGGGCATCAAGAGGGACAGAGAGGTTGACGTGCTGCGAGTGAAGAACAGGATGACGGAGAGAGTCAGGCTGAGCGAGGAGGAGGGGGAGGAGGAGGGGGAGGAGACGGTGGGGGGGAGGAAGGAGGGGGACAGCCTGGGGAGGAGGGACGTCATCCTCAACCTCGCTCTTCGCAGCGAGGAGGCAGCGGCCCTGGGCGTCTCGCGCCATGTCTGCGAAGTGCAGCTTGAGGTTGTGACAATGGCGGCGCTGCGGACGGAGGAGGCGCACCAGCGATACGTACAAGTGAGGAACCTGAGGAGAAGATAGGAAGAGGAAGGAGAGAGAGGAGGAGAGAGGAGGAGAGAGGAGGAGAGAGGAGGAGAGAAGAGGACCGAGGAGGAGGAAAGGATGTGGGTGAATCGGTAGATGGATGGATTCTATTAGAAACAGAGGGTTGAAACATGCTATCCTTTATCCTTAGGAGCACATCGCAAAGCACTTTTTCTCCTCTCCTCTCCTCTCCCCTCTCTCTTCTTCCCCTCTTCTCTCCTCTCCTCTGTCTCTTCCTCCCCTCTTCTCTCTCGCTTCCTCGCTCAAACACATGGTGTCTCAACTCATCTTAGTTCATTATCGTTTAGACATCCTCCATGTTCAAAACTCTCTCCTCCTCCTCCTCCTCCTCCTCCTCCTTCGTCCTATGGTACAGGCAACCGTCCTAGGTCCGGGGGATGCCCTCAGGAAACAGCATGAAGCTTCCTTTCATCTGATGATCGACGCTCCTTGAACGCGCAAACTCATCTGCAGGAGGAGGACTACAAGAAATTCCTTCCTCCTTCCTCTTCATCTCATCGATCTCTCCCCAGTCGCTCGTGCTCATGCACTTCCAGCCCACAAGGCACCGCAGCTGCTCCTCTATCACCTTCTGCTTCAAGCTGCTCTTCCTCCTCCTCCTCACGGTGCAGATGGGCGTGCTCTTGTCCTTGGACTCCCCCTCCTGGCTCGACGTCTCCTTGTCCGTCTCCTCTCCCTCCTCCTCCTCCTCCGTCTCGCTCTCCACAGGCCGCTCGTTCCCCTCCTCCTCCTCCTTGGGGTACACAGGATGGACAGACATGGACCGTCCTCTCGCCCATCGCTCGTACAGCTTCGCATGCTCCTGCTGCTGGAGGATTCCCAGCCCTTGCAAGAACTTGTCGCTTACATGCACTGAGTTCTCAAGCGCGTTCTGCTCCAGCATCTCCACGTCCCTCATCGCCTGCCCCACCACGTGAAACCTCGACTGCTTTCTCCCCAGGATCCCCGACGCCACCACCCCCACCGAGATCCCGATCCGGCACCCTACATCGCACCCCTTCTCCCTCCTGTAGTCTGCCATCACCCGCAGCATCTTCCTGGCCAGCGCGAGCATGGCGGAGCAGGAGGTCTGAGTCACTTCCTTGAGGTACCAGTCCCTGTCGCAGGGCAGCCAACCAGCCACCATGTAAGCGTCGCCGACCGTGTCGATCTTGAAGAGTTTCTTATCCATCACCTCCTCGTCGAAGCGCGAGAAGATATGGTGGACCATCTCAGCAATCTGCAAGGGGATCATCGTCTGCGACATGGCGGTAAACCTGCAGATGTCGAGCTGAAGCACGACCGCTCGCTTCATCATGCAAGGCATCTTGAACGACGTGTGAACCATCTGGTGTGCAAACTTGGTCGGCACAAGATCCACCAGCACTTCCTTGAACTTGCTGAGCTCAAACTCGATGAGCTGGTACAGCCTCCTCCTCCTCCTGGAACAAAACCTCAGGCTCCTGGACCGGAACCAGTCGAGGATGAGGACGAGGAGGGTAACGGCAAGGTAGAGCTCCAGCTCCATCCCCGTCGGCTTCCTGACCCACATGACGGCAGCTAGCACGGCTGAGTTCACGCACCACAGCCCGGAGAATCGAGCGAGGGTGACGGAGTCGAAGATGAAGTGCGTGCTCATGAATGCGCTGCCAGATACGTACAGGAAGATCCAGACGGGGGGGCTGAGCACCAGGCGGAGGAGGAGGAGGACGAGGGCCGTGATAGGGTGCACGGTCATGATCCACTCGCCCTGCGGATGGCGCAGGATGAGCATCTTCGAAAGGTTCTCCCAGCAGAAGTAGCAAAGGGCGAACATGGCGAGCATGTGGAAGAAGTGGAGCAGGAGCCCGAACCAGCCGCCATGGCAGTAGGAGATAGCAAGCGCTCCCCAGTGGCCGATGAGCTGCATCTCAAAGCCGATCCAAAGGTCGAACGCCTGCTCCTTGAGAAACTGCTGGCTGCTGATTGCAGAGGTGTACTCCACCTCGTCCTTGTCCAGGACCTCCCCCCTCGACGCCTTCCACTTCTCCTTCCTTAGCTCTAGCTCCAGGATCTCGTCGTTGAACTCCTCCACGTCCACGGTAGTCGGCGACTCCGACTTGTACAGCTTGCTCTTCCAAGAAAGCCCTGCGGGCTTGCCAAACTTGTCCTCGCATGCCTGCTGCTCGCGCACAACTTCGAACACCTCCATAAGCCCCTTCCCCTTGATCTGCTTCTCCCCCCTGGACACCACCGAGAGCTCCCCAGGGAGGTCGGACTGCTCAGAGAGGGCCCTTGCGAACTTCGACGAGCACAGGATCTTGTTCACCTCAGCATACTTGCACATCCTCGCCGCTGTGTTTGTCGTATCCCCATACACGCAGTAGAACGATCGGTGCCTTCCTATCACAGCCCCCGCTGCTGCTCCACAGTGTATCCCCACCTTCAACCCCAGCTGCATGTCCTCGATCTTCTGCATCTTTGCAATGCACACCAACTCCGACGCTAGCTGGCACATCTTGCGGTAGTACATACCCGGGTAAGGCCGCTCCTGCACTGCCCTGTCGAACGGCATGGCGGCGCGAGGGCACGTGATGATGTACCAGTCGCCAACATGCTGGTACTTGTACATGCCATACCTCGCCACGGCGTCGTCGAACTTCTCAAAGACGACATCCAACGTCTCGAACACGTCAGCCGACGACTTCGACTTGAGGATGTCCTGCGGCTCCAGGGAGCAGAACATGATGGTGCAGTTGGAGATGCTCGCTCCTATCAGCCCAGACCTCGGTCCTCCATGCACCAGCCGCGTCATGACGTTCTCAGGGATCAAAGAATACACCAGCTTCCTGCTCTGGTCCGCAACACGCATCATCCCCATAGTTTCCTTATACACGTCCCTCTCCCTCGTCGCTATCGTCACACACCAGTAGTACCCCAGCCAAACCACCAGCCCCTGCACCATCAGTATCATGTACAGCCCGATCCCCTCCAACTTGATGAAGAACCCTGCTGCGCTCAGCAACAGGATCGCCCCCGAGGTCCCGATGTTCACCAACCTCGACTCCATGCACCTTGTGTTGAGCTTCGGCAGCTCGGAGAGAAGATGAGGGTGCACCATCTTCCACCCTTCCCTTCCACCTCCTACCTCCCACTTCCCTCCTCCTCCCTCCAATGGCCGCTCTTATGGCCGCTGGTAATGGAGCGAGGCGAGGTACTGGGATTTTCGAGCGACGCGAGCGAAATGCGTATGTTTGCAGACCCTGGCACTGTTGATGACGTAATCCTCTTCGTCTGAAATCCGCACGAAGTCAGATGGAGGGAACAACCATTCATCGAACAGGTCAGGTAGCTTCGACTCTATGGGAAAATGGGATCGTGCCATGTTCGTGGCATGAGAACAAGGGAATGAAACATGAAGATTTGCTACACAGAGGACCGACAAGCTTCACTTTCAAGCCATCGCATCTAGAATCTCCGTCCCTTTCTCCCTCTCTCGGCCGCAAACCTCCAAAATCTCAAGAGATCAACAACCTCCCTCGCTCGCACGCCCAACACTTCCCTTTCGCAGAACCATCTACTACCATTTCTCCGTCATCTTCAACACGAAGCCAACATTCCTTCACCAACGCATTTCGACATACTGTATCCTACTGGCATGGCTTCTCTCCGCCCATTCCTCTTCCCCTCCCCAACTTCATAGCCCTCGCATGCGCTCCGGCATTTCCTACTGTGCATTCACATGGGTAACTCATGGGTGGGGGGTCCAATTACCTGAATATCCAGGGGTGGATCATATTCAGTACCGGTACTCACAATTTGGATTCATAAGTACCCCTTATTTACCCTTGCATAAAGGGGGATAATCCAGGCGAAAATCCTAAACTCTCTTGGGAAGGGGGTAGCGGTGTCGGACTTACACGGGGTGATGTAGTAAAAGGTGATAACGATGGGGGGGGTGGGGGTACTTTAAAAGTATTGTAATTACACATTCAGGTGCCAAACCGATGTAAATTTAAAATACTTATAGTATTTGCTGGACGAATGACCAGGGTGGGGGTGGTCTCCAATGTCGGAAAAGGGGGTGGGGGTCTTGTTTCATTCGACACATTGCTCCTGTGGGTGGGGTCTTTTCTACGGAATCTGTGGTAGAAAGTAGGGGTACTTGTGGTACGTAGGCCTAGGTGGGGTGATACAAATTATTGGTAATCCTCTTGCTGAAGGGGGTGGGGTAGTTCGTTGGAAGGTGCTTAAGAAAAAACTTCTGAGGTTCTAAGTCGTGCAGGTGTAGGGGTAGTGAGTACGAATCAGGGAATTAGCAGGTAGGGGTATCTGGGTGTGATAGGGTATGAGGATAGCTGATTTATTCCTTTATTCACTTAGAGAATATGTGATGTATGAGGCTAGGTCTAATGCCTGGTTTAGTGGGATCTGCCAGTTGTTGACAGGGTAGGGTACAATCCTTCCATTCAAAGAAACCCGAGGACCCCCAATCAGGAATCACTACCCCTGCTGATACTACCCCTCAAATCCCTGCCATGACTTAGTGAGACCCCCTCTCTTCATATTTAAAATGTGACTTAGGCACCGGTACAATGAGACTTCCAAAGAGGCATACCCCTACTCAAATCACCCTCAACCCCCCTTTTGCCCCTACTTCCATTGCTGGGAGGGGCAAGGGGGAGCAGGAGTGGCTGTCACAGGAGTAAAAGGCTGGAAGGGGGGGCGGCGGTAAAACGTGCAGGGTGGAAGGGATGGGCTCTGACCCTTTACTATTCCTATAGAATCGATCAGCATGAGGGGTATCCTTAATGACTGTTTTTCAGGAAAAAAAATAGGCGAAATGGACCTTGGGGGTGCGCTAATGAGATGAGAAGGGTAGGGTAGTCAAGAGTAGGGGTGATCCCCCTTTTAGATCAATAGAAATCAAACAAGAACAGATTAGAAAGCGGGGGGTAGGTTAGGGTGCGATAGGGTGGGTGTCACTGATACTGCGGTGGTCTCTTTGTGGGTGGGTGGGTGGGCTGGCTACTGATCTTATGAGGTGGTTTATTATTTGGTTCGAAGAAGTTGGTAGCCGAAAGCCGGCGGTTGAGTAGGTGGGGTAGTTGTTAGACCACCGGTAGTGTTGATGAAATACGAATCCGGGAAGTAAAAAGTGTGTTTGTTTGGTTGAAGCACCCTACCCCATTCAAATCACACATAGGCGAGTATATATCGATTGTCCCAGCTTAAATTTCAGTGCATATCCGTGACTGCTGGTAGGCAAGACTTAAGTGACATGTCGCTAGGGTGGTAGCTGTCCGGGGTGGGTGGTTGGGGACGGTGTGACAGCCTTCGACTGCCATGACCAAAGAGCTCCGTATAATATTATTAAATTTATAATGTTTTAGCTAAGAGTGGGGTCCCCCGGTTGCCGTGCAGCCAGGCAAAAAATGTAAGTAAAGTATTTGTATGAAGAAATATATAGACTAAATATTTTATAATAGAAATCATCGGGTGCTGGGTGGTATGCCAGGTCGGAATGACAGCGACAAACGGGCCCGCCTCAATATCTCGGTACAGACTCAGCAGGTGGTAACTAAACATTCTTGGTACCATGGCAGGTCGTTGCACTACCGGAGGGGTTGCTTTCACTTAACATTGAGTAAAATCATCTTTACCGTCCAACTTCTTCGGATTGAAAGTTGCGAGTGCGATCATGGCATGCCGGATGACCCGGCGCGGCCCGGTTTGCCCTGTCAGGGCTGCAGTGCCCGGACTCCGGGACTCGGCGCGGGCCCCGGCGCCGGCGAACTTGGCTCGCCGGAACACACTGCCGGGCCTGAAGCCTAACGGTTTGAAATTTGCCGGGAAAACAGCCGGCTGGGGCCGCCATCCACCGTCACTGCGTGGCATCATGCCATCGGCCGGGGCGTCGCGGGGAGGCCGAAGTTTCAAGTCTAACAGTAACGGCTCACGGTTCCGAGGCTCGCGGCCCCGGCCGGAACTTGGCACGAACTTGCGCTCAGCGGGGGCTGTGGCGGCGCGCGGCCCGGCCCCGGCGCGGCGCGGCCGGCCACCCGTAGCACCGCGGGCCAGGCGGGGGCCCGGGCCGGGCCGGGCGACAGCACGGCAACCGCCAGTACTCAGTCATTTACTCAAAATTAAGTTAAAAATCAGTAGTGTTCCAAGTCAGTGGAGCCCTGGTGGGTTCTTGCTGGACTGAGCGGCCGTTGAACGTCAAGCCTTCAAAGTGAGGAAGAAGAGGAGGAGGAGAGTGATCAGTCACTAGGGAGGATGGTAGCCTAGTAGGCCGCGGAGAATGGTAGGAGGTAGACCGGGAGCAAGGAGGAGGACTCGAGCCTCGGAGCGTGGGGGGCTGGGACGGAAGGAGGAGCCCGGAGGAGGAGGTTGCCTGACTCGGACCTGGCTACGTCTTTGTGCTACATTCCTGATCCGATCAGGAGAGCGTCTTGAAGAACCTTCAGCCCGGTGTGGTGTAGCAGGAGCAGTGAGAGGCTGGCAGGGGGCTGGAGCTGGTGGAGCAGCGGCAGGAGCAGGAGAGGGCGCGGGAGGAGAGGGAGGAGTGTACTCGCTGGGGACAAGATCTTTGGCAAACGGTAGTAGGGCAGGAGGAGGAGGGAGATTGGTGAGATCGGGTCAAGTTAGTTCCAATGCCAGACTGGGAAGGAGGAGGAGGAGGAGGAGGAGAAGGAGGTAGCGGCAGCGGGAGCAGCAGCAGGCGAAGTCTTGTGCCGTTGAGAAGCAGCGCCTGTGGGAAATCGTTGAGGGGGAGGAGGACGGAGGGGTGGTATTTACCTCTTCGTCTCGGTGAGTACGAGGGGTGGGAGAAAGCAGCCCTTGTAAACCCAATCCAAGACGACTTTGAGAAAGGGGTTCAGATGACAGGCAGTTATGTATGAAACAGCAACATGAAACAGAAAGTGCAACTCTCTCTATGCAAAATCCACGGTGGGGGAGAACGACATTCGATTTAGTACTCTGTGTTGTTGTTGCGCGAGTGTACAAAGGCTTTCTTGCACTTCATCCATCTCTTGAACATGTGTCACAATCTTACTGCGCGATGTTATGTGTGAGAAACTTACAACATCATATCTTTCGATTGCAACAGCCAAAGCAAAATGCGGGGTACAAAGAATCTACTCGACGTTGTGTACTCTCGTACATCAGCAGCTATCCAGACAGACAGGCTACAGATACCACTTGTCTTGGCCTTGTAATACTCGACTGTAACGACAGACCACAAGCTACTCACGCACAAGCAAAAGGCACAATGCAGCACTGACGGCCAGCTACCGAAGCCCAAGTACTGCCCGACTCTCCTCCGCCTCGACCAGTCAACCCCCTCTGCCCAGCATCAATCGCTGCACGTCGTGTTTTCTAGTCCCAAGGGCCTGACGAGGGTGCGAGGACAAGGCTCCTCGCGCTGCCGCCATCCGATCCGATCCAGTGAGTGGGCAAGGCTGAGCTGAGAGCAGCGAGAAGCAGCACCCTCCATCTGTTCTCGTGTACGCCACTAGCTACCCCGACAAACACGAGGCGTGCGGCCGGCTCAAGTATTGATAGCGCTGGATCAGTTTATCTAGCCATGTAGAGGACACCGCGGCTCATCGCAATGCTCTCCAATAGCCTCATCATATCGCCTGAGATAAACTGCTTCAACAGCCCGTGACAGCCTCCCCCCCGCTTCCCGTCCTCGCCCTTCATCTCTTGCCCTCGTCTCGTCTCCTTTTTATCGTCATTATGCTCAACCTTCCCATCATCCTCGTACAGGCGTTCTGTCCTCTTCCAGCAGGACTCTGTGAGCAGCTGACCGTCTTGAGCTGGCATAGACGTGCTCGCTGCATGGACACCACCGATTGATGTCTCTGCGTTTGCATGACTTGAACAGAACACATGTGATACTCAGAAATGAAACATGGATGCTCCGAGTCAGCTGGTGATTAGCCCTGCGCAACATTTCTTACGACATTGTATGGAGCACCTGTTCACAGATGTCGCGGACGTCGCCGTCAGCGTCAACCTGTTGCAACATGTGAACGGGCAGCTACATCTTGTACGTCAACTTCGATCCTGTGCCTCTCGCTGAGTTCTAACCTAGCGTGATCTCCTCCCAACTGTGACTTGAGATCTACTGTCACAGTGCAACTCAACAAAGACACAATCAGCACAGGTGTGGAACTCCAGCAGGACAAGCTGCAGTCCAGCTCTCTCGCCCACACTCTTTCTTGTGCTCACTACCGTCCCACGACTTTTAGCTTTGACTCGCGATGCTCCACCAACTCTACAAGGAAGGGTCTTGTGTACAGAGCAGGCTGCTTCAATGAACGCGAGATGCAATGTGAGCGCATGTACTCGTTACTGATGTCTCAGCAGATATCGAGTTGTAGTCTGGCTACATTTACTGCAATGACAAACGTCTACTGATCCTGCTTTCTACAGCTCTCTTTCCATTCGAGCCATTCTGCATACTCGCGGTCTAGCTCAGCTTCGTCAACAATCTTGTGAGGCAGTCTGTCCCGCCACGTCGGGTCTTCGAAGTTGTATTTCCAGGTCTTCTGGGATCCGCAGGCGTAGCGTCCAACCCACTTCTCCGCAGAAGAATGAAAAATGGCATCAATCATCCAGTCACCGCCATCAGCAGATTCAAGAAACTCGTAGAAAGCAACTGGTGGGGCCCATGCGGTCTCAAACTTCAGGTGAAAGGAAAGGTTGTTGCGTTCCCATTTGAGTTGTGGGACATCCCACTTGGTGCCCCAGTGCTGATTGCTCCACAAGAACCAATCAACCGAAGCTGGACGTGGCAAGAAGTGCCCAAACAGGCCTATTTCGTCGTCCGGTTGAAGCCCCTTGAGAAACGTTTCGAAGGATTCGGCTGTCAGTGCATTTGCGGCACACATCACCACGCTGTTGAAGCACATGTCCGGCATAGCGTCTGTCGCAACCTTCAGACCGCGGAGCGGCAAACAAATCACCAGGGGGGTGCGTGGTTGTGTCCCTAGGGTGGTCGGGCAGGGGCCGGGGTCTGGGGTGGGTCATCCTGGGGGTCAACAGGGGGTAGCCGCAAGGTGTCTCGGTGGTGACCTTGCCCGAGGGAGGGTGGGGTAGGGAAATACCCCAGGGGAGGGCAGGCAGGCGCGGCGGTAGGCGGACCTACTACGAGCTTTTGCTGTCTTTCTGTCCGGCAGATTTGCACTAACGAGTGTGGGCCTGCCTCATTATTATCCTCGTACTGATTTTTAACTTAACTTATATTACCATACGAAGCAAAAAACAGGGCAAGTTTGTGCCCACGGGAGCGAAATGGCAGAACAAGGCCGAGCGCAATGCCGCATCACGAATGCTTCCAATGATGTCCCCCCGTGAAGACGATGGCGAAGAAGAAGAAGACCGTGCGCCTTCCAATGATGTCCCCCCGTGAAGACGATGGCGAAGAAGAAGAAGACCGTGCGCCTTCCAATGATGTCCCCCCGTGAAGACGATGGCGAAGAAGAAGAAGACCGTGCGCCTTCCAATGATGTCCCCCCGTGAAGACGATGGCGAAGAAGAAGAAGACCGTGCGCCTTCCAATGATGTCCCCCCGTGAAGACGATGGCGAAGAAGAAGAAGACCGTGCGCCTTCCAATGATGTCCCCCCGTGAAGACGATGGCGAAGAAGAAGAAGACCGTGCGCCTTCCAATGATGTCCCCCCGTGAAGACGATGGCGAAGAAGAAGAAGACCGTGCGCCTTCCAATGATGTCCCCCCGTGAAGACGATGGCGAAGAAGAAGAAGACCGTGCGCCTTCCAATGATGTCCCCCCGTGAAGACGATGGCGAAGGGGAAGAAGTCCTCATCTACAAAGAGTTCGGCCTCACCTTCCCGCCTCCCCTGCTTCTTCATCCATGGCGGGAAGCGTCACGACACGGGCGCCGGTATCCCATAGTGGGCGCTTCCGAAAAAAAGTTCAGGATTCTCTTTTTTGGTAAACTTTAAAAAACCTTGTATCCTGGCAGCTGAGAGATTTGAGTCACTTCCGGGAGGCCGAAGTTTCTCAGCTCACGTACGCCTCCCTGCTCTAAGTTCGCTGCCGCAGTCACCGTGCCATCATCGTGGGTGCGTTCAGGTTAGTACGCGTCTCATTCCGAGGCTTCGCCGGGCAGCGGCTCAGTCACTGGCAGCGGCGACATTGCTGGCATGCGAGCCTGCGGGGGAATGGTCCTGCGTGCAACCTGTTAAGTGAAGGCCCGTATCATGGCAGTTAAGTTGGAGGGACAGCAGTCGGCCGGATGAGGGTTGGAGAGGGCGCGGGAGGAGAGGGAAGACTCCGTGTACTCGCTGGGGACAAGATCTTTGGCAAACGGTAGTAGGGCAGGAGGAGGAGGGGAGATTGGTGAGATCGGGTCAAGTTAGTTCCAATGCCAGACTGGGAAGGAGGAGGAGGAGGAGGAGGAGGCAGCGGCAGCGGGAGCAGCAGCAGGCGAAGTCTTGTGCCGTTGAGAAGCAGCGCCTGTGGGAAATCGTTGAGGGGGAGGAGGACGGAGGGGTGGTATTTACCTCTTCGTCTCGGTGAGTACGAGGGGTGGGAGAAAGCAGCAGCAGAAAGCTGAAGGAGAATCGTGTGAGAAGACGGGAGAGGGAAGACGAAGGAGGGAGGGGAGGGGAGGGGAGAAGGGGAGGAGGAGGAGAGGAGAGGAGAGGAGAGGGGGAGGAGGAGGAGAGGAGAGGAGAGGAGAGGAGAGCAGAGCAGAGGAGAGCAGAGCAGAGCAGAGGAGAGCAGAGGAGGGGAGGGGAGGAGAGGAGCGGAGAGGAGAGGAGGGGAGGAGAGGAGCGGAGAGGAGAGGAGAGGAGAGGAAGAGCTGAGCTGAGCGAAGGAGGAGGAAGGGCAGAGGGGATGGGAAGGTTGAGCGTATTTTTCAGTCTTTTACCGCACTCAGCTCGCTAATCTCAGGCGAAGCTCGATGAGACCTGAAGAAGAAAACTGAAAAGAGAAGACGAAGCAGAAAGGGGAGTGGAGGGAGGAGAGAAGAGCAGAGCAGAGCAGAGCAGAGCAGAGGAGACTAGACGAGAGGAGACGAGGTGGGAGGGAAGGAGAGGGAAGGGGAGGGGAAGAACCAATATCAGCTTTGGTTTTTCTGACCTATTCGAAACTTTTTCATCGTGGGCATGATCGAATCTGGACCAAAAGATGAAAGGATAGAGAAGAAGGGAAGAGAGGTATGTAAAGAAGACGAAGGGATGAGGATGAGGAGGAGGAGGAGGAAGGAGGAGGAAGGAGGAGGAGGTGGAGGAGGAGGAGGAGGAGGAGGAGAAGGTGGTGGTGGTGGTGGTGGAGGA